TTAAAAGACACTGTTTGACGAACTGTTCAAAATTCATGTTAAAAAATAAAAAAAACAAAACAAATGAAGACTACAGACAAAAGTTCATTTTCTCCAACAAGATATTCATTTCTGTAGTTCAAGGCTTCCAGCAAGCAGATTTTTTTCTCCTGATGATGGCCATGTTGGCCGAAACTAGTCGAGGAATCTCTACTAAAATAATAATAAAAAAGAAATAATATTGATATATAACCCAGTGTGTTTGAAGATTTTACTTTTTTGATATTTTTATTGTTCAATATATATATATATATATATATATATATATATATATATATATATATATATATATATATATAACACTGCCTGTTAATATATCGCGTTTTTCGGACCACATGAAATAAGCATTTGGGCTCAGGTATTGTCCGATTGAAGCTATTCCAAAAATTCTAGACGTGTCGCCTTGATTGCTTATACTTTATACTTAAAAAAAAAACCTTTTTGAATAACTACTAACACTCATGAACAGATATACAGTCTGCCACTTCCTCGGGGACACGTTCATCTGCTTGAGATTAGATAAATCTGTGGCACTGAATTGGATATTTACTGTAGCCCATCTTAATATCCCAAGACAAAACATGTTAATCCATTAAGCCATGTGAGCCATACCTGGTTTAATACCAGGGCGTTACTATTCTTATTACCTGTAGTAGTGGTAGTCAACATCTTTCGTGTACCGTGACCCATCAGAAAGATCATGGCTCTCCACAATTTTCTATCCTTTGTTAGTCCTGGGTATGACGACAGACTATATCCGGCAGCTATGCCTATGATCTGGAGATTTGAGGTATTCAGAAGCATAGAGTTATCTCTAAATTGCTGTTGTTCCCAGATCCAACCTGACCCAGAGTGGTAGCATCTGTTAGGGTCCTAGCTCTGGGAAAAATAATGAACACCCAAACAAAACACTATGAATGTATACAAATACCAGGAATCCATTTTTATACAAAAAATGACCAGTAATAAATTTTATAGTGCAGTTACCAAAAATACATTTTATAGCAAAATGACCAACAATACATTTTAATATCAAGATCTCTGTGGTTTATTTAAACCCATAGAGGTGTTGATATGCCGCTAAACAAAATCAACCAACCAACAATACATATTTTAAGCAAAATGACCAACAATAAATTTTATCTGTAGTTGAAGGCATACAATTACATTAAAATATATATTTAGTTGAATCTAGAAAAATGTGTTCAAAATATTTAGATTTCGGCATTAAATAACCCATAGAGGTGTTGATATGCCGCTAAACAAAATCAATTTTCTGATACAGGTCTTCCTATTTAGCCCATACCCAGGAGGAAAGAAGTGGATTCATAGAATTCCCAAGGGTATTTGCACGTAAGTGAATATATCGAACCCGATTTAATATTCCCAAGACAAAATACTTTAGCACCTCCAAGCAATTAAGATCAGAATAATTCAATAAAACTTGTTTTTAATTATTTTTTGATAAGATAAATTGAAAAAGGGAAAACAAAATGAAGCAGTTTTAATTATTTTTGAACAAATTAAATCGACATTGTAAAATATTTTACTTTTTTGAATTATATTTTATACGTCAGTTTACTTTATTAAAAAATAAATTTCTTTATTAGAATAATAAAAAAAATAAAAACTGGTTCAGAGTTTACATAATGCTTTTTCAAATGACTTATTTGAAGGAAAATATTCACTAATTAAGGTTTTAATCCTTAATTACTTTTATTCGGCTATAAAAATTTGTTTTTCTGTTGCTGAGTCGGCGGTGTTGTGTCGGCGGTGTCGAGTCGGCGGTGTCGAGTCGGCGGTGTTGGGTCGGCGGTGTTGTGTCGGCGGTGTCGAGTCGGCGGTGTTGGGTCGGCGGTGTTAAGTTGGTCTTTCCCGTGCTTTAATACAGGTTCCCGTACGACCAACGAAATTAAGCAACGTCGAACTTGGTCAGTAACAAGATGAGAATGCCAGGTGCTGTAAGCATGGAGGTGTGGATGGTGTAAAGGATAATGACTCGGAATTTATAATCTTACAGCCGACTTCCAATCACAATGTAATTCGTTATATTCACTTACGCGCAAATACCCTTGCGAAAGGTATTAGTCCATCTGTTCTCCTCACCTATGGGTTAATTAGTAAGACTTGTGTCACTAAATCATTATTATGTCCCCACAAAATTCTTACAGTTCAAAAATATTTTCTGACTTTACATAACCTGCAAAGGGTTGATAAACCGTAAAAAACGAATCAATCAATCAATGAATTACTGATTAGCTACACAGGCATGCCTTCCCTCTGTTTACAGACGGAATGCTTAATAGGTCTGAATGTTATTGGACTCTAGCTTTCTTGAAATTCATTTTCTTTTCTTTCCCCTCCATTGGATATCGTTAATATCAATTAAATATATATATATATATATTAATATCAATTAAACTTACACGTTTATATTTTATATCCCAGAAATAAACTTGATAAGGCTGGAACGAAACCGGTTGTTTTTTAGCTTTTAAAATATACATTAAAATGCTATATAATTTATGCTTATTTCTAGTTAGCCTTAAATTTCTTTTCTGTTTCTCAAATTCTGATTAGTTACGAAATAATCTCTTCCCCCGCGTTAGACATGTCACTAAACTATTATTATCTTACATTTTTTTTAACAATGTAAACATATTTTCTGGCTTTAAATAGCCTGCAAAGGGTTGATAAGCTGTAAAGTACAAATCAATAATTAGATCTTTCTTCGTTATGCATTTTAGAAATATCAACTGCCTGCTTCACAAGAATTTTTTGTTTCCATTTTCTTTAAAACTTCCACCTTAGTCGATAGACAACAGCTAACAGCACCAAGAACACAAATGCGTTCAATTGTCCGACCAAAATGGTGCCTGGTTATTGCTATCATCATCGTAAGAGATGAAAAGGCAATGATCCGATTATTCTAGTCATGATGATGGCGTCAGTTTTGCTAATTAGTCACCGCGTTGATGATTCTTTGAGAAGTGTCAATTATTATTATTATTATTATTATTATTATTATTATTATTATTCGCTTGGAAAGGTGTCATTTTCAAACGACACGCTTTTATCTGATTAGATTCATCATAAAACCACATACAAATAATTACAAGGAGAACAAAAACTGTTGCCCATCTGTTTCTTGTCTGCTTTCTTTCTTCGATTTTACTTTCTTTGTTGTTTAATGTGTTTTATTTGTTTGTTTTTTTCCGAATCATTTTCTTACGCGTCCATTTTGTCGCTTTGTTGTGTCGTCTGATTCTTCGATTTTTTGTCCCGCCCTATTTTTCTTTGTCGTCTTTCCTCAGTCAATAATTTTTTTGCTCGGCTTTCATTTTCCCCCTCAATTACTAAGGTTAGTTTAGTTTTCTACAAGCTCGCAAGTATGAGGCACCCAGTGAGGATCTAATTTACGACTCAGTAAGAACTGCAAACCCGATCATCTTGCTTAACATTATCCAGACTCGAGTCGCCATTACTTTATTTTGTAATTGTTTAAATAAATTTTTGTTCAGTTGCATTTAAATGGTCTTTCTCCCTTTTATGTTTCCTTCTTTCATTTTCTTTGTTTGTTTCCTTCTTTCTTTTTCTTTGTTTCTTTCTTTTTCGCTCGATATGTTTGAGTCAATTTCTTTTCTTCTAACGTTCCTCTCTTTTCTCCTTTTTTTTTCGTTTTTCTCTTTTCTTTCTTTCTTTCTTTTGTTATATCTGTCTATATTTCTGAGATAAGATATTATGTACACTATTTACATTATTCGGACTATTGTCCTCATCTTCGTCGCCATATTTATCATCCTTCAGTATCTGTCTATATTTCTGAGATGAGGTATTATGTACACTATTTACATTATTCGGACTATTGTCCTCATCTTTGTCGCCATATTTATCACCCATCAGTATCTGTCTATATTTCTGAGATGAGGTATTATGTACACTATTTACATTATTCGGACTATTGTCCTCATCTTCGTCGCCATATTTATCACCTTTCAGTATCTGTCTATATTTCTGAGATGAGGTATTATGTACACTATTTACATTATTCGGACTATTGTCCTCATCTTCGTCGCCATATTTTTTATCACCCTTCAGTATCTGTCTATATTTCTGAGATGAGGTATTATGTACACTATTTACATTATTCGGACTATTGTCCTCATCTTCGTCGCCATATTTATCACCCTTCAGTATCTGTCTATATTTATGAGATGAGGTATTATGTACACTATTTACATTATTCGGACTATTGTCCTCATCTTTGTCGCCATATTTATCACTCTTCAGTATCTGTCTATATTTCTGAGATGAGGTATTATGTACACTATTTACATTATTCGAACTATTGTCCTCATCTTTGTCGCCATATTTATCACCCTTCAGTATATGTCTATATTTCTGAGATGAGGTATTATGTACACTATTTACATTATTCGGACTATTGTCCTCATCTTTGTCACCATATTTATCACTCTTCAGTATCTGTCTATATTTCTGAGATAAGGTATTATGTACACTATTTACATTATTCGGACTATAGTCCTCACCTTTGTTGCCATAGTTATTGCCCTTCAGTATCTGTCTATATTTCTGAGATGATGTATTATGTACACTATTTACATTATTCGGACTATTGTTCTCATCTTTGTCGCCATATTTATTACAACGTTTCGGCTTTTGTTCGCTCCGGCCTTCTTCAGCTTTTTGAAATGTCGAACTTAACCCTTTATTTCGCTCACTGGGGTAGACTGTTCTAGTTCCACATGGCACAGTGGATAAAGGCGTTGGTTTGATCCAGTAACAGGACCCAAAGAGTGTGAGTTCAATACCCGTTTAAGGCAGTGGAGAACTTTCAGAGGGAAATTAACAGGAGATAACTGATAACTGACATCCATTAAAACATGGAACTAGAACATTATACCCCAGTGAGCGGAATAAAGGGTTAAGTTCGACATTAACTATAAACTTGATACGGTTGAATGTATAAAGCGAAAGCGAGAGCGAGAGATAGATATATAGAGAGAAAGAATGAGAGAGATAGAGAGTGAGTGAGAGATAGACAAAGACAGAGAGAGTAACAGAGAGACAGAAATAGTGAGAGATAATAGAAAGAGTGAGATAGATAGATAGAGCGAGTGAGGGAGATAGAAATAGAGAAAGACAGTGAGAGAGAGATAGACATAAAGTGAGAATGAGAGATAGATAGAAAAAGAGGGAGAGTGAGTGAGATAGATAGACAGAGAGTGAGAGATAGATAGAAATATATATATATATAGAGAGAGAGATGAGCAACAAAGAAAAATATTGTTATCAAATGTATATTTAATCTGTAGCGTTAGTGCCTTATGTACAACACACAAACTATATATATATATATATATATATATATATATATATATATATATATTGAACAATAAGAAAATAAAAAAATTAAAATCTTTAGACACACTGTGTTGTAGATTAATATTCTTTCGTTTTTTTTATTTTTCCATTTAGATTCCTCGACTAGTTTCGACCGAAATGGCCATCATCGGGAGGAGAAATATTTCTGCTTGCTGGTAGCACTAAACTACAGAAATGAATGTCTTTTGCTGGAGAATATATATATATATATATATATATATATATATATATATATATATATATATATATGTCTGTATGTGTGTTTGTATGTCTGTGTGTGTATGTATATATATATATATATATGTGTGTCTGTGTGTATATATATATATATATATATATATATATATATATATATTTCTATATATATTATATATTCGCGGTACTTATTGGAAAGTGCTCAATATCAGTGATAGAGCTGACATATTCAATTGTATGGTTAGGAATTTACACAAATCCATACAAGTGAATATATATATATATATATATTATCCCTCGCCGAGAGCACAATTTGGTGTTTGATGCACAACGCAGTCTTCGAGTGCTGAGTATAGACTGACCGTTACGTCATTTAAATTTTAATAAAAATATACGGTTATCACAATGCTGGTGAAGTTATATATTATACGGCATTTACAGTTTTTTAATTAAAAAAATATATATTTAGCATTTAAAATAAACGGAATTTATAACTTATAAAAATCCTTTATGTTATAAAGGTCAGTCAGTTATGTGCTATGATACACGTTAGGCGATCATGTATTATTTTTTTCGATACATGACTGACGAGGTAGATTTTTTCCCCCGCAGCAGGTAGCCATTTCTTCCTGCGGTAGATCAGTTGCCAGCACAAGGATATAGAATCTGGTCTGCTTTGCTATTTACCTAAAGTTTCATACCTTTCCGGAGGGTATTGGCTCGTAATTGAACGTAATGGATTTGACTGGAATTCGAACCTGGCTCTCCGATTCCTCAATCCAAGCCGCTATCCATTACTCCACCGGGCCTTTTCCATTGTAAAGTTACTGGATAAATACCATGTCTAACTTAATAAAAGGCTTCCACGAGGAAACGTCAAGTGTGGAATTAACGGACAATGCTTTGTGAGACAAGGTTGTTCGATGTAAATTTAAGTTCTAAGATACAAGAGTTAAGAATCGATGTACAGCTGATGTCTTCGTGTAAATATAAATATTAACTTGATACGGTTGAAAGTTCTGCTTAGGAAAAAAAAACAAAAACAACAAAAACAAAAAAAAAAAAACAAAAACACCAGTGTGTACGATTTTTACAAAAAAACCCCCCAAAAAACAGTGGTTTTAAAAAACGTTCTGTTAACACCGTCTTTTATAGCCGCCATTTTAAAGTATGTTTTTTTCTTTCTTTTTTTTTTTTCTCTCTTTCTCTTCACAACCCAACTCTTTTCTTTCTGGGCTGAGCAGTATATTATTATGCAAATGAAATCGAAGGCCCCTCGTCTTGATTAGGTTCTAATTGGCACATAGTTCGAACGCATCCAGGGCTGACACAGATATCGATGGACAAGTCTCAATGAAATGGATTTTTATATCTTGTCTTTTTCTCATTATTATTATTATTATTATTATTATTATTATTATTATTATTATTAATTCTAAATTCTTTAAAAGAAAAAGAAAACAAAACAGAAAGGAAAATAATTCTCCCTCTTCTCCATTTTTATTCCTGCATTATTGTGTGAAATTGTTTTTTGTTTTTTTTTGTGAAGTGGTCAAGTCAGTTGGGCATCAGACCGAAACATGTTCGGTGTCTACACTATGGCTTTGTCGATTAAGAACGGTCATTAAATAGATCTATTTGCCAGAGTGAAGATTAAAAGGGAAGAACCTCTGCTGTCTTCGATCTGCTAATCGATTGGGAAAATCGTAAAAGAAAATATACATCAAAGGATTCGAATCTATCATAATGATCAGTTACGACGTATAGATATTTTTTGTTGTATATTAACTTCAAGCAGAACACACACACACGCACACAGAGAGAGAGAGAGAGAGAGAGAGAGAGAGAGAGAGAGAGAGGGAGATGAGTGGAAGAGAGAGGGAGAAAGACAGTGAGAGAGATAAATAGAGATAAAGTGAGAGAGATAAGGAGAGTGAGATAGGCAGAGATAGAGAAAGTAAGAGAGAGATATAGAAATAGTAAGAGATAGAGAGAGAGAGGGGAGAGAGGGAGTGGGAGAGAGAGTGAGAGAGAGAGTAAGAGAGATAGAGAGAGAGAAAGTGAGAGAGATAGGCAGAGATAGAAAAAAGTAAAAGAGAGATATAGAAATAGTAAGAGAGAGAGAGAGAGATAGAGAGAGAGAGTGTGAGAGAGTGTGAGAGAGAGAGTGGGAGAGAGAGTGGGAGAGAGAGTGAGAGAGATAGTGAGAGAGACACAGATAGAGAGAAAGTGAGAGAGATAGGAAGAGTAAGATAGGCAGAGATACAGAGAGTAAGAGAGAGAGATAGAAATAGTAAGAGAGAGCGATAGAGGGAGAGAGAGTGGGAGAGAGTGTGAGATAGAGAGTGGAAGAGAGAGTGAGAGAGACAGTGAGAGGGATAGAGATAGAGAGAAAGTGAGAGAGATAGGAAGAGTGAGATAGGCAGAGATAGAGAAAGTAAGAGAGAGATATAGAAATAGTAAGAGAGAGAGAGAGAGAGAGAAAGGGAGAGAGAGAGTGGAAGAGATAGTGAGAGAGATAGAGATAGAGAGAAAGTGAGAGAGATAAGGAGAGTGAGATAGGCAGAGATAGAGAGAGATATATAGAAATAATAAGAGATAGAGAGGAAGAGAGAGAGTGGGAGAGAGTGGAAGAGAGAATGAGAGAGACATTGGGAGATATAGAGAGAAAGTGAGAGAGATAAGGAGAGTGAGATAGGCAGAGATAGAGAGAGTAAGAGAGAGATATAAAAATAGTAAGATATATATATATATATATATATATAGAGAGTGGAAGAGATAAATAGAGATAGAGAGAAAGTGAGCGAGATAGGAAGAGTGAGATACGCAGAGATAGAGAGAGTAAGAGAGAGATATAGAAATAAGATAGATAGAGTGTCTGAGGGTGACATAGATATATAGAGATAGAAATAGGGTGAGTGAGAGAGAGAGAGAGAGATAAAAATAGAGAGTGTCAGAGAGAGAAAGTGAGGGAGAGATAGAAATAGAGATAGATAGATAGATAGAGAGAGAGAGAGAGAGAGAGAGGGAGATAGATAGATAGAAAGAAATAGAGTGAGTGAGTGAGAGAGAGATAGAAATTAAAATTACGCAACGGTTAGTCTATACTGAAAACCAGACGATTGCATTGTGCATAAAACACCGAGTCGTTCCATCGTCGCTTTACATCGTGTTTAAGAGAGAGAGAGAGACAGTGAGAGATAAAAAGTGACAGAGAAAGACAAAGATAGATAGATAAAGTGAAAGTGAGAGAGATAGAAATAGAGAGAAAGTGACTTAGAATGAGAGAGAGGGAGGGAGATAGATAAGTAGATAGAGAGAGTGAGTGAAAGAGAGATAACAAAAATATTGTTATCAAATGTATATTTAATCTGTAGCGTTAGTCCTTCTATAGAACACATATAATACACAAATTATATATATATATATATATATATATATATATATATATATATATATATATATATATATATATATATATATGTTAATAAATATACTCAGAGTTTCATGTACAATGCAATATTCAGGTTATCACAATGTTGCAACTGTTATATATATTATACCGTGATTACAGATTTTTAAAATATATATTTGTCATTTAAAATAAACGGAATTTATATATATATATATATATATATATATATATATATATATATATATATATATATATATGCACATGTATGCAGAAAAATAGGAAGGACACGTTAGGTAAATAATTCGGAGTTCCTTAGTATTTTTGTTTTTATTTTAAGAAGACAGTGCTCCATACAAAAGTAGAGCTTATATTATAATATTTTTTTAAATATATGATTCCTTCGCTACATAAGAGTTCTCATGTTTCAAAAACGAGGACCGAAACCATCAATATAGTTATTAAAATTAAGTTGAATCAAGGTGTTGGGTCCCGTTTCATTCTCAAGCGAAAATTTAAAAATAAGCTATCTTGTGGTTTGCCGTGTTTTTCGCTTGAGGAGGAAACGGGATTCAACACCTTAATTCAACTTAATTTTAATAATTATATTGATGGTTTCGGCTCTCGTTTTTGAAACATGAATCGAACCTATATCCTATACTGAACCGTGCCTTTAACCGATTTGGCCACGAAGGAGAGTTCGGTTAGCGGAGGTCGATTTTACTGTCGTTAAACCTTGCTAACCGAACGCTCCTCTGTGGCCAAATCGTTAAAGGCACGTCAGGCTATATGACGGTTCCGTATAGGATACAGGTTCGGTTCCTGTCGGAGAACGAATATTTTCTATGAAATTTTCTCGGACATTCAGGCCGGTAAATGTTGTTTAATACTGTTTATTATAAACAAAGCATTTACTTAAATATTTGTATCTATAAAAAGAATGTATAAACATAAAAATGTCTTAATATAATTGTCGGGCTTTGTCCGTTTCATAATATATATATTAGGACTTTTTAAAAAAAAATATTTGATTTCCTGTATAATAATTCGATGGAATTTTGTTAAACATTTTAAAGAAATATTTCATTCAGTTTATTTTTTTTTTAAATGTCACTCTCCTTCCAACATGAAATTTGGAAAATTATATATAAGTATAAGGGTACTATGGCTTTATGGAGTTTTTCAAAACTTTCTATAACCTACTCGAACTTGTTTTTGTTTATTTGTATGTATGTATACTATGCTATAGGTATAAACATTTAAATCCGTTAAAAATACGTAAGCACTATCAACTTACATCATTGGCAAATTGAAAACCAGCGCTTCTGCAAATTTTTAATTTTTGTTTATTTGTAAGGTTGTATGTCAGAAAACTGAGGTCATGGGTAAACAGATTAGAGTTTATCAAAAGACGCTGAACTGTACAAACAAAATTGGTACACTTCGGATACTAGTTTTGTTTAAAAGTTTCTGCAAAAAATTGGTGAAGAAAGATGGCCTCCTTAAATTGTAAGAAACAAAAATATGAAAATGAAAACAGAAATTTTAGGTCAGGTTGGAGGAGGAAGATTTTGCATTCACCGTTAAAGGGAGTAAACCTTTGTTCTTTCTTTTACAGTGTGGCACAAATGTAAATTTTGTTTATGTCTTTCGGTTCTCAAATACCTGAACTTTATCATATGTGGCTCTTACATTAAACAAGTTTGGCCACCCCTGTTCAATATGATAATAATATTCTTATCTATTCCCGGCATGCATTTCTACGATTTATACATGTTTATATCGCCTCGTGCCACCCCAACCTCGCAGACGCGTACATAAAAGGTTTCCAATGGCCCATGTGTCGATAGACAAACATGACATCACTCCTATCAATTAACGAACATCGTCAATCAAACCCCCTAAAGATATACACGAGCCTCGGCTTAAATTCGTGGCCATACAAATTTGCTGTATAAAATTGTATATATTAGTTTTGCCTGCCATTTAGAAGCTAGGGGCCCCTGCGCATTTGCTTTTCACGACGGGGGAGGATGCTATCAGTTGTAGAAACTGTAGGGTTTGTGCTCCTCACGCCAGTACGTCGACCATTGACAGTTGTAGCAAAATTTCTCCATTGTCTGGAAAAATAATAAAAAGAAAGAAACAAAAGTTATATTTCCAGAAGGAACGCATCAAAATTAGAGTGTTCTGTTTTCCTTTGACGCCGGCCGGCTTTCCGACGGATCTTTGATTGTTTTTCCACACAACAGTTCAAGTCAATAGAGGTTGATAACGAGTGTAACAGCTATTAATGTTACAAATGCCCGGGTGATGAATTAGTAATGGGAGAGTGCTTTGGCTAAGGTCACATTCATCCACTCTCTTTTCCCTCTGAGTCTCGTCAACATATCAAATGTTGGCCCAGCACAGAAATAAAATGGACGTGTATGAATACGAAATGACACACGAATAACTTAAACTGAAATTCGAATTGATATTCAGTACCAAATGCTCGAATCCAAGTCGGACGCCACAGATGAGGTTTGATTTTCACGGAAGCAAGCAGGATGTATTCGTCTGGAAGCCTGGCGCAACACAGTCTTTTTATAGTCAGTTTAGTATTGTACTGGACTTAGATAATATAGGGATTATCACTTTTCAGCTCGACTGAAGTAGCAGCGATTTACTCATGGCTATCAGAGAAACCCGAGTTTGGAATGCTGATTTTATAGGCAGGTAGACAGGAAGGAGAAATAATTCTTTATATTTATGGGTATCGATCAGTTATAATCGATATTCGTAATTGCCCAAACGTTTACACAAAAAAATCAACAAACCTAACATAACTTTGTCTGTTCATTTCTATCTATCTATCTATCTATCTATCTATCTATCTCTCTCTCTCTCTCTCTCTCTCTCTCTCTCTCTCTCTCTATATATATATATATATATATATATATATATATATATATATATATATATATATATATATATAGTTCAGTTGATGTGATCAACCCAACTAAATATGTAATTCTATCAATGATATTGAGCGCTTTCCAATAAGTACCGTGCATATATAATATATAAATAATATATAAAAATTGCATATATATATATATATATATATATATACATATACATACAAATTTCACACACACACATATATTTATCTAGCTATTATATCTACTATTTGTCTATCAGTCTGTTCATATCTATCTTGGTGTATTCGTATCTATCTATCTATCTATCTATCTCCTTTTATATCTACTGTTTATTTATCTCAGTCTGTTCACATCTATCTATCTCGGTGCATTCGTATCTATCTATCTATCTATCTATCTATCTATCTATCTATCTATCTATCTATCTATCTATCTCGGTGTATTCGCATCTATCTATCTATCTATCTATCTATCTATCTATCTATCTCGGTGTATTCGTATCTATATATCTATCTATCTATCTATCTATCTATCTCACTTTGTACGTATATCTATCTATCTATCTATCTATCTATCTATCTATCTATCTATCTCCTTTTATATCTACTGTTTATTTATCTCAGTCTGTTCACATCTATCTATCTATCTATCTATCTATCTATCTATCTATCTATCTCCTTTTATATCTACTGTTTATTTATCTCAGTCTGTTCACATCTATCTATCTATCTATCTATCTATCTATCTATCTATCTATCTATCTCCTTTTATATCTACTGTTTATTTATCTCAGTCTGTTCACATCTATCTATCTATCTATCTATCTATCTATCTCCTTTTATATCTACTGTTTATTTATCTCAGTCTGTTCACATCTATCTATCTATCTATCTATCTATCTATCTATCTCCTTTTATATCTACTGTTTATTTATCTCAGTCTGTTCACATCTATCTATCTATCTATCTATCTATCTATCTATCTATCTATCTATCTATCTCGGTGTATTCGTATCTATCTATCTATCTATCTCACTTTGTACGTATATCTATCTATCTATCTATCTATCTATCTAGTTAGCACTTGCTCGTTCTTTACCCACTTCATATATATTGATATATTCAATGCACCCTTTCACGTTCAAGCCCGTTTATAAGGTCAAAATACACCAACATACGCATTATATTTGCCTACATAAATAATACATAAGAGAATCTACATATGCGCTTAGAAATGTACATTCCAAAATGTCCCCATGCAAAAATGGCATCGGCCTACACAGCAGATATGTGCAAGTTCTCTTATAAATATATTCAACCATAAACATATGTACATGGATATCCCCTGTTATATATGTAAAAAAAACACTCAAGCCTATATTCGATATAAACACACACACACACATATATATATATGTATATATGATATTTTCATCTCTGTATTCATGTTTGTATATTCCTATTATCATTCAACGTATCAAATTTAGACTTCCACGAATCAGCCGACAGGTTCAGTAATCTGCGCTATGATCATTTGAACGTGATGCGCTGGCCACACGAAGTGGTATTTGCAATGGGAATTCACAGCAAGCCTCTCTGTGTCTTTTCCTTTAAGATGAGAGAAAATGTTGTCGTAGAAACGCGAAGGATTCCATATTAAAACGACATTCTCGAAGTTCTTCAAATACCAATAACTTAAAAAAAAAAAAACAGGAAAAAGAAAAAGAAAAAAACAAAGAAAAAAGATTTAGTTTACCCTCAGCTTTGCAATTAAAAAAAAAATTCTTCTTGATACAGCGTTGGAATAACCCTCTAAATTTCGTTTTTCGATCCCACCTATATATATATATATATATATATATATATATATAAAAAAACTTACCATATATATATATATAAATCAAAACTCACAAGAAAAGACGCAGATACAGATCAAAGCATTTCTCATTCATTTGAGGAATTTATTGACCATATTTTCTTGGGTCTAGCCAGACCCCACGTACTCACCAACTGCAGATTATTGTATCTATTTAACAAATTCTTCTAGACCGTTTACCACCTTCGGTTATAAGACCAAGTGTACCTTTCTATTTAACCCATATCTAGAGGGAGAAATAAAATGGATTTATGCCTAACGTGTATGAATTCGAATTGATATTTAGTACCAAGTGCTCGAACCAAGGTTTTATTTTCACGGAAGCAAGCAGGATGTATTCGTCTGGAAGCCTGGCGCAACACAGTCTTTTTATAGTCAGTTTAGAATTGTACTGGATTTAGATAATAAAGGGGTTGTCACTTTTCAGCTCGACTGAAGTAGCAGCGATTTACTCATGGCTATCAGAGAAACCCGGATATTTACATTTAAGTGGATCTAAAGAATTTGACTGAGATTCGAACTCGTCTCACCGATTCATCAATTCGAACAGCTTTCCATTGCATCATAAAAAAAAATGCAGAAAAAAGAAACCTCTAAATTGACATCCATGTTATATTGTCAGTTTCAAGTATGGTCGAAAAAAAAGAATTCAAATCCGAGGTACTGCCAATTATGAACTTCTAAAATCATTTTACAAGCAAAACCAAAGCTAACAAATGAGACCACAAATCTGAAAGGTCTGAATCGAATCCTCATTTAATTGATTTCTTTCCAAATGTCACCAAGAACGGAATTCTACCGAAAAGTGGATTACTTTGAAAGGTTTGATGCATTTGTACATAACAACAATCTTTATAACAACGACATCGAGAGCAAACATTGGAAATCAGGATTATAGCATGCATCACTATATATCTACGTCGATACCGGAAGTTGCGTTCGGATTTACCGGAAGTTGCATTCGGATTTACCGTAAGTCTTTATAAAATATTCATCTGAGCAATGGATCTTTTATATTCGGCCCAAGACATAACACAGGAATGTATAATGCCACAAAGGCATCTTTTTCAAAATAATAATAATAATAATAATAATAATAATAATAATAATGATAAAGGCATTCACAGAAAGTTCTTGATTTCTAATGAGTCTTTCAAGCATCATTTCTTAAGAAGCGAATTTCCTTTGACGTCAACATGTAAAGCCATCATAACAAATGCAATATAAAAAGAAACCACTACCGCACAGACACACACGCAACGTGTGGGGGGGGGTGAATAAGTCCGTAATTTGACGTAATTCAGAGCTGATTTCTTTTTACTTTAATATTTCACTGTACAATGTCCAAATTACGCGATTAATGGAAATGGGTTACAGCATTAATTGCATTGAAAAGGAAGAAGAACAAGTTTTAAAAAAAAACTACTTCTATAAAGCTATGCTTTTTACATCATTAGGATATGAACTATATATATATATATATATATATATATATATTTATTGAAGACATTTTTATGTTTAACGTTCTCTTTTATAGATACAAGTATTTAAGTAAATGCTCTGTTTATAATAAACAGTATTAAATAACATTTACCGGCCTGAATGTCCGAGAAATTTTCATAGAAAATGAATTAAATTGAGTTAAAGTACCAAGCTCTGTTCCATCTTCAAGCGAAATTTTGATTCCAAAAAAAATTTCGCTTGAAGATGGAACAGAGCTTACTTTAACTCAATTTAATTCAAATAATTATATTGAAGTTTTCGGCTCTTGTTTTGAAACATGAGACCTCTTATGTCGCGAGTTGGAATCATATTTTTAAATAAATAATTATATCTATGCTCTACTTTTGTATCGAGCACTATTTTTAAAAAATAATAACTAAAATACTAAGGAACTTTGGATTATTTACCTAACCAGTTCCTTCCTTTTTTCTATATACTTTCACACACACACACACACACACACACACACACACACACACACACACATATATATATATATATATATATATATAATGCTTTAAAGTCAAGCAATCTTGTAATGTATTCTCACAGAGTGACAGAGCTTCAGTAGCAATAAATAAAATGCCCAACGTAATTCGATCGATAGGTCTGTCGTCTAATTATGCAATTTTAGTTGTATAAATTCCTTCCTTATCAATGCACTTAAATCGACGCTTGTTCATTTATCACAGACATCGTATATCATTCAGTGAAAATTCTAGATCAAAATTCAGCTCATGACAGCAGTAGGCCATGCAACCCCCCGCATATATTATGAAGTGTATTAAATCCGATAATTATTTAATATATTTTCTGTTTATAAGTTATTTTAATACATACAATTATTAAAGTAAATGCTATTTTTTTTAAAAAATAAACAGTATTAATTACATTTACCGGCCGGAATGTTCCAGAAATTTCGTAGAAAATTGCATTTTCTGACAGGAATACAACCTGTGTCCTATACGGAATCGTCCATTGATCTGACGTATAATATCACTCGGCTACAGAGAAAGCGGCTGATTAGCAAAATTCGAATTGCTGTTTATTGTTGTGACCCAAGTAAATGGTGAAAAAAATAACTGAACAAGTGTTACAGATGACACCTTTAAGTGTCGAATCTAGATGCATCGTAAGTGTTGTTGCTCCCATCTCACTAGAAGTTTAGGGTCTAAATAAACCACAGACTTCTTCGATGGGCGATCCGACCGAATATGATCAGTATTCGGCCCGCACCTAGAACAAAATCTGCCACTAGCTTTAGGACGTGAATTATATAAGTTGCCCCAGTAGACAACAACCAATCAAGACTTCACTTGGACTATTCGAAGTTATAAATTAGGTATGTATGGTTGTAGTGATCTTCCTACATACGGCCAAGATAGGGTGTTTTTTTTTTTTTGAAGAATAGAAGAAAACAAACCAATAAATATACACATATATATATATACAAACACACGCACAAATACACACACACACACATACACACATATATACATATATATATACAAACAAAAAACCCAAAAAACAAACGATTCATTATATTGGTTCGTCTTGCGACTTGTTCTTTCTCTACCTCCCCTTTTAACGAATTTATTTGTTTGGTCTTTCTTTTCTTTTTACTTTTTTTATTCTTCTTTTCTTTTCTTTTCTAAACTACACTTAATAAAACGTTTACAATAGCGTGATTAAAATGACTTAGACTGTTTACAACTTTAAAACTAAGAGAAAAACTTAATTAAAATCGCTTAAAAATAAATTAATCAAGCTATTTACATGTTAAAAAACCCGTGTAAATTTTAGATATATATATATATTAAACAGTAAGTACAACAGAAGAGTATTACACGACTAGTGAGTGTGGGTCGGTTAACCCAACATTCAATCTATTGGACTGTTAATATTTAACAGCCACCCCCACGAGGGATGTATGTGGAACAAGGCCCAGTTTACCGAGGGTTCGCCGAGCCCGTAGGTTCGGCCAAAAACATTTCCGTGCAACCCGCATAAAAGGATCCGGGTCTGTCTACCTCCCTGGACGAAACTTTGCTCTTCGGCACAGCCTCGTCTGGGTTCCTCTCTGCCAAAGATTAGCTTTGATTGTTCTGTCAGTGTGTATTGTGTAGTCCCATAGAATTATAACAGGTCCTATCTCCGTAACCGGGTATGGGTGGTGTTCATACCAGTTTCTTGCAGTTTCCTTTCCATAAGTGTTGGAGATTTTCCAGTGCAGATATTGGCCCAACCTGTCGTACCGCGTTTCATATTCGGCGAGCGCCAATAATGGTAAATTGTCTCTGGATATTTATCAAAGAAACTGCATTTTGGACTAACACAATTTTTCATTATTATTATTATTATTATTATTATTATTATTATTATTATTATTATTTTCTTTGATTTCTGGCGTTTACACATTTCTTTCCGGGTCCCGCCCAGGGACCTAAGGTTAGAAATGGCATCATGACACTTTCCACTAACAAAAAAAAAAAAAAAAAAAAAAAAAAAGAAAATTACATAGATAAAGCCCTTCGTAAAGTGTGGGCTGTACTTGTCAGAACAATTTTTTGTATCTCCTTAAGGCATGGGCTTCCAGGAATCCCTTCAATTAGTCTACTGCAATCTTTTCCAACCAATCCGAGGGCTCCAACTACAACAGGGATTGTTGATGTTCCCATGTGTCACATTTTCGAGATTTCTATTTCAAAGTACTTTGACAGCTTTTTGAATATCTTGAAAGATACATTGCAGTCAGCAGGGACTGCCATATCAATAAGG